AGGGATTGAAAATAAAATACGAATACACGTGATACGAGTGCGTGTGCGTGTGTGCGTGTGCGTGTGCGTGTGCATGCGTAAATTCGTAACTTATTATAACCGTATACGTAAAAATAAATGACGTGTGGGCGGAACGGCGGCGGCAGCGGTCTCACAACCGTTTGTCACTGTCGACCACGACTGCTGCCGTTGCAGTGGTCTTCGATCGGCTCGCGCCATAAACGCAGGCCGCCGCCGCTGCACATTGCATTGGTCTGTAACGGGAGCGCACGAGATGTCGCCGTCGTCTCGCAACACGCTTCTATAATCGTGTTTATTGCTAAACGTTTTTGCGGGACCCGGGACAGGGAGAGCAGGCGGACGTAGACTTGAACCGTATGCAAGCACCGAGGATGACCTATACGACGACCGCTCTATGAAGGACTCGTCTAACCTTGCGAATCAGAACAAATCGATTCTATCCATTTTACCGCACGAAAAACGATTTCCATCCGCAGTTTCTATCCTAGACTGTTATAATTTTTATCATTATAATTCGTTACTGTGCGGCGGGTTCGTTGTGCGCTCTCAGTCGCTCGACTGTACTAATGAGCCAGTGCGCACGAACCCGAACTATCTTCGCAGAGAGATCAATCGCGAAATCCTTTCCGGCCGCGGACACATCGATTACGGTCCAAATGATATTATTTCGCTTTGGAGACGATTTTTAATCAATAAAACGTATGTATGTTATAAATCATAAAAAAAAAAAACTCGTTTCTGAGGTATGCATTCGTGATAAATATAACTAATCATTGATAAGTTATTACAAATAAAATATTTGTCAATATTATGAATTAAATTGTGTATATTTCGTTTCAGTCCGCAGTTAATGATAATCGACAGTTAAATTTGTTGACGTCTGTTGACCGCATTATAATTCATATACTACATCATGAATAATATTCATAAGTTATCGCGAACAATTATAGACTATAGAAGACTATATATAGTCATTTGGTTTTGATATTTTTTAGTTTTATGTGAAAATTATAGGTTCCAAGCTGCAATTAAGGTACTAAAGACATAAGTCAATTTATAGTAACTTCACAACTCACAATCGTCGAATCCAAAATGTCAAAAAAAATTAGTAAAAACATGCATTATATATGATAATGAAAATGTTGACCGACCGGCTGATAACTATTATTAATTATTATTCAAAAAAAAGACAAATGATTCTGAAATTTTATAAAAATATAAAATAAATATCTCTGATAGTTTTCATGTGTGGACAAAATATGATATTCATTGGCAAGTATGCGTGTTCCCTAAGGATTACAGTCAACGTTTAAATTATAATATTTTTTTATTAAATACTCGAAAACTATAATCCCTCATCGGTGTAGTTATGTCAGAGAAAATTAAAAAAATATCATACACTTAAAAACTAAATCTCGTGTAAAACGGAAAAATTTAATCGAATTATTAAGTACTAAAAGTAAACGCATGTTCGTTATTAATATTTGTTCGGAATGAATCGGATTTAACCGTACTCTTAAACCAATTTTCTCAACAAGTTCTGAGACCGTTTTAAAATATACGGCTCAAAGAATAGTACTAATTTTACCTTAGTCCTATCTGTATTTCGTTTCAAACTTAACGTTAAGAGGTAATAAAATGAATTTAAATTTTCCAAATTTTTTTTATTTTATATTTTATAACTCTAAATGTTATATTTTATTTTATTTTCATTATTCCTTCTTATTATTTAAATTTATTGTATACACTGATATAACTAATCACATACATATTTATCGTCTGTGTACTCTATGACCACCGGGCGACTGTAAAATAAATATAAATATAAATAAATGCTTCAAACGAAACGAAGAAATAGCCATCATGTCGATCAATATATAAGTGTATACACGAAACATACGATAAAAAGTCGAAAATATATTAAAACAGATTCGTAAAAATATCATAAATTTCCTTACGTTCAAACAATACATAAATACATAACTATTTATTGCGTTTTTATAACACGTTGTTATGTTGCGGCATTCACGCATCACTCAAACCGGCCGACAAGGAAACACACGTGTAAATATATATAATACATTACAATACGACTGTGATATAACATGTGTATACGCGATTTTTTTCTTTTTTTTTTCATTCCGTGCGCGCGCGTGAGTTTATAAAACGTGGTATAAACCACCTGGGAAAATTTCGTGGAATTTTTTTTCAAATCCACCAATATATTATTTTATTACGATAATATTCGTAACTGTACTTACCCTTCAAAACATAATTTAGATCATTGCCAACTTTTTGTTGCCAAACGTTATCGTAGCTAGCGATTCAATTGTTATTTATTCAAATATGCGTGCACGCCAAATAAACGCAACGACGTAGCATTTTACAACAATTTTTGATACGAATTTAACAATCAAGGTTTGCGAAATAAAAATAAAAATCGACCGCAATAAGTCTCCGCATTAAAGAGTGAAATCAATTTAAAAGTCCATCTCATTTGAGGAGTGAAAATTAACCAAAACTCATGTTTATTCAGTTTTTATCCTTTTTAGTTCATATAGGCACTTGAATTTTGTTGTTTTTTTTTTAAATTTTAGATTTGTTTTTTTTCTTCAAAAGTTAGAACATTAAAAATTCAACTAAAATAAAGATAATTAGTTGTTTTGTTTTAATACTATAACAATCAACTTTAAAATTATAAACTGATTCACCCGATCTCTGTTATTTAGAATAGTATTTTCAAAAGTTAATGATATATTGGTTTCAAGTTTAAAATACCAATTTAATAACACTAGTCACTCATTCCTGTATTCTTACCTGACCTAGAAGTTTTAGTCTATTTTAAATAATTGTTTAATAGTTTACTATCAACATTTGAAACATTTTGTTTAATATTTTACTTTACTACAATCGCATTTTTAAACATTTATTAATTAATATGCGTTTTTAAAGAGGATTAGAATTAGTTAAAATATGATCTCGATGTATAATAATTGTATATTGTATATTAATAATAATATAATTGTAAATTCAAAGCATGTTCTTTATGTACAATTATTGTATAGAACATGCTTTCAATGGGGGTTAAATTTGTGTCACTATTTTTGGATTGATGATTTCTTAACATCTTTGATCTACTAAATTATTTACTTATATAATTTTGGTAACTACAACTTATCATCCATTTATGTCATACTATCAGTACCGTAAAAACCGGGTGTGCATAGGGTACAATGCACACGGGCCCCGTCCTCGAACTATTTATAATGGATCCTCAAAAGGTCAAATTCTCAAAAACGTTTGATGATTAGGAGCATCAAGGTCTTGATTCGCACACTGATCTCGAGTGATCTAGTTAAGGCACTGCATATCAAGTATAATTGTCATTTTTTGATGAAATAATTGCTCTTAAAAGTTTAATATTTAATGTCCTCATCATGATTACTCTCCAGTTTTCTCAGTGCTTAATATCTTTAGCCTATCTGACCGCAAGCATATCTTGCCTTTCTCTCATCCCTTCAAAACGGCAATATTGATTCTTTTGAATTTCTGTCACGTACTCGTATTACTTTTAATTTCCCTCAACCTTCCTCGGCCACATTTCATATCCCTCAATTGTCTAATACTCAATTCCTAAACTCCTAAATAGTTGAAATAATGCAATCATAGTCTTTGCTGACTATAGTTTTAGTAGTTTGTTTTAAATTGATTTAATTATTATCATAGTTTGTGTTTGCATTATTTTCCATATTTTCCGGTTTTTCCCCATAATAAACATTACGCGCAATACGTTGTTACCTATTATAGACTATAGGCAATATTAATAATTATTAACACTCTAATATCTGATACGTAAACCGCGATATCGTATTTATTATCTTTACTATGAACCAAACATTAAGATAATTAAGATGACAACGTCGCACGAAAAATCGTTCTCAATCGTGTAATCAAAAAAATAAAATGTTCTTAATCGTACAACACTGATATACGTATATATATAAACCACAAAGCTAAAATTTTGATAAGTAAAATTGTTACTATGTTGTAAAGTTGTGGTTTTATTTTCGATAATCTAATGAATTACAATTGTGATTTTATTTGAATTATCGAACTACTTAAATTGTATAGGTATAGTTCTATTACTGTATTCTATTTTTTTATTTGTGTCATATGTTAATATTCTTGTAGGTACGCGATTAACCGAAAATAATAATATATGAACTGTTTAAGCATCTCCTGGTTCATTCATTTGAAAAAAAAGGCCAGTGACCCTTTGTTAAATAGCCTGGAAGAAATTTCAGAATTCAAGCATCCAGTACAATTTAAACTCTGGAGCACATTTATGTACCATACATGCACACGTGATCTAAGTTATTAAAAAAAACTTAATTAATTTATCAGTACATTGGAAATGTCTTGATTAGCATATGCTCAATGAGCATTGCTCATGTATCAGATTAGTTTTATATTATATTAGTTTTAAGACTATTTAATCGTTTACTTTTGTTTTACGAGTAGGTACTTACGTTTTAATAATATATTTTAATACAAATACTAAAACTTTTTCAAATAACCGAAAACTCCTAATTCCGATGAATCGGCGTGAAATTAATTTAAAATAGTACGCTACGAGTATTACTAAGCAACTGCGTTTACACAAGAATTCCTTTGCACGCCTAATGATCACAAACCAATCAAAGTGAACTACTGGTCTGTACTTACTTATAAGTGAGGTAAGTTATAAGATATATCTTATCTGACTTTTATTTGTTTTCTTTTCGTAAACGAGTCCAAGTATTGGAAAATATTTGAGTCCTCGGGGCGAAAAGTCCTGGTAGATTGTTTACACAGTATTTTTAAACACGAATTTTAAACGAATTGATCGCGACAACGACGACGAAGGATCGCCGACTGAAAACTCGACAAACATATTAGGAAAAGTCGAAACTGCGGCCTGTGACATTTAGCTATCCACAATGTACAACCACCGTAAGTATCCACTGACGCAATTGTCCAAACTTAAGGAAGCCACCAGATTGCGAATGGAATGCGAGAGGGAGGCTAAGCGGAGGGACAACGAGACGGTACGAGAATGTGATAACCAAATCACTCGGGTAAAAATTTTGAATGAAAAATATTTTTATGCGGTGCAACAAAATGACAATAATAACTACACTGTAATGGTTTCAGAAACGACTTGGTAAACCTCATGTGAACCGAACAGAAAATCTCATAAGAATAAACGACAATCGATTTTACCACGACGATAGTGATCCTATTAAGTATGTACATTGTAAACAATTTAAGTTTAAATAAAACTAACATACGTTAACGAATAATATAATAAAAATAAATCAATAGTATAAATAAATGGTTTCCATGCTCAAATTTTACTATAGTAAAATATATAAATTATAGTTGTTATACAGTTAGAGAGTGAAATCAAAATCAATGAATATTCTAAATAATCATATTAATTATCATTGGTATACAATACCATTATTAGCAATACTATTATTATTGGTTTTTATTTGTATTTATTGACAGACAGTAATGGCGTAGTAAAATAAACATTTTATGATTTTCTAATTCTTTCTCATTGAATAATAACTCAAAAACATTTTCCCCGCTCTTTATATTGTGAGTTTATAGTGTTTACATTTATTAAATTTAGGTTTGTTAACATATATTTATTTTTAACTATTTAGGTAGATTATCTCAAACTATATATTTAGATCTATTTAATGTTAATATTCGTATTTTTATTTTATACTTGCTAATTGTATATTAAATATTAACTTATAATATTAATTTAGACTATCAAAAATAACATTTAACTAACGAAATATATTACATTTATTTTATTCTTTGATCAAGTGGGCGTCACCAATAACATCTATTACAGAAATTGAAAAATTTGGTGACCATTAACTCATGTGCATAATTTAGTAAAATATGTTTAAAACCTGTATCGTTAAATGTATTCAATGTTATTAGATATGTTTCTCAACGATTAAATCTTGATGAAAAAATTAAAATGCTTGAGTTAAATTTGAAAAATCGTGAAATCGATATGATAGAGGAAAAAAATAGGCTCAAGATTGTGGAAGAACCGCAGTTGGTGGTTAATGATGGTAACGATTTCGTCTTGTTCAGCGAAAATACGGTCCATTATAATATAGAAAAAAATGATACAATAATTGAAAAAGATCATTCGAATATGGTGAGACAATAAATAAATAATATTTTAATAGCACTAATACAACAAGATAATTGTAGTAAAATTAAGATAGAAACAAATACTCGGGTTTCCTATTACTTGTACAATCATTTACAAAAAATTTTTCATCAGTACCATCAACATTTTTCGTAAACAGTAATAAAAAATAGGAGATAATTAGGAATTAAAATTTTATTTGTAAAATGATCATTCTACATATTTTACCATAAGTAAAAACCTATTACGAAATTCAAAAACCATCTGATTAAGAGTTTCGATATGAAATTTCATAGGTTCTCGGAGTCAGTATTTTATAGAGCTAATCCTATTGTTAATTTAAATAATGTATTAAAAAGAAAAAATCAACACTTATTCTATGCTTCGTCTATATTTACCATTATTTGTTACGAAACTTTACAGCTTTTTTTAAGGTTTGTTTTTTATAAGTTCGCTAAAAATTATTTGTACATAACATTTTTTAATTAAAAAAAAATGTTTATTTAAATTCTATACAATGCAATTGGTATAATTAGTGTAAATTATTATGGAAAGGAGGTTTTGTTTATGGAAAGACACTCGGTAGTACCATCCGACCAAGTCCAAATTAAGTATTTCATTTTAGTAGGCCACTATATTTTTAATCTTCTTAGTACATTACCGGGAAGTGAGCATTAATAGTATTTATACTCATTAAGACCTTTTATATTATTATGTTTGCACGCAAAGAGTATAGATAAATCAACATATTATTCTTTGAATAAGTACGTTTACGAGACCCCGAAGGTAGAAACTAGACTAATCATCAGTCCGGAAAACATCGAGTTCAGGGTAAACATTTATCACGCAGGAGTAACCAAAATCGCAATCATTTTTACTAATGGTTAAATCTTAGGTGAACTCGAACGCAACACATGAAGTTTCTAAACTACATATTAAAGTCACAAATCGCAGTAAGAACACCATATTATGCCGTTACAGTCACCTGTCTGATCCAAATTCTGTGCTTCGAGATGACATGAATATTATAAAAGTAAATATTATTGTATACCAATGCAGTTTATCAATCGTCAGTGTATGATCTGTCGTCGATCGAATTCGATTGAAATTCATTTTTTTTTTTCTTAATTAAAATCACGCATTTACGTCCGTGGCCTTTATTTCAAGTAAAAAGTCTCCGGTCTGGAGTTATCCTTTTTTTTTTTTGCTTTTATAACATTGTATCTGTTAACAATTTTTACATTATTATAATATTATATATTAACATTTTAATTTTTAATTTATCTTTTTCTCTCTCTCTCTCTCCTCTCTCCGTTCAGGTAAAATCAGACAAACCATGTCGTTTGCGACCCGCGATGATGATCGATTTCCCTGTGACATTTAAACCAGCTGAATTGTTGAGTACTAGAATATACCAGAGTTTGAAAAACGTGCAGTTGGTATTCGAATGCAGCAATGATCGATCGGATGTAAAAACCGTGTTTCACATTCCAGTGAACTTTCGCGCAGTCAAGCCGGAACCGGTAGTGGTTACCGAAACCATAACGTACGGTTGCTCCAATACACACATTTTATTTTATTTCATTTGTTTATTCCAAAAAGTTAAAACGGGTTATAACCGGGTTTTAAGTTTTCTTGGGTTTTGGTTAAAGAGTTATAATAAGGTTTAGGTTTTTTCTGGTTTAGGTTTTCGAGTTGTAACCGGGTTTTATGTTTTTTTCAAGTTTGATTATCGATTATAATAATGATTTACTACTTAAATGTACACAATAAAAACGTTAGATAATTTTTTTTCTCAAAATTCTTTATTATGTCATCTGTTTCAATTAGAACAATAAGTTTCAGTGATAAAAATAATAAATAATGTCATTGAAAATAAAACAAAGAAAAAAAGCCAGCTCCCAACGAAGGTATTTGTAAATAATAAGATAACGATATTAATAAACTAATATTAATCATAAATTAATTTACATTATACTTTAGAAATATAAACAAAAATTAGTTAAGTAAGTTAAATAATAGAAAGTTACTTATTCATGATAATTATTAAATTTTAAAAAGCATTCGAGAATAAAGACAGCAATAAAGAACATTGCACAAATAATATGATAATATAATAATAATGATAACTAATGAAAATTACTAATGAAAACAAAAAGAATTAATAAAATATATTTATTTAAATATCAAAAACAATTATTGACAATGTATACAAAAATACATCACACATAATTCTTTTTTAAAAACAACTAACATGTTTCTAGACTAGTGACTATTCAGAAAAGACTATTCTAACTTCTAAGCATACCTGCCAACCGATAAAAATTAAAAATACATATTTCAATTTCCAATTTTTATTCCTCATAAATAATGTTTAAAGATAAAATATAAATATAAATCAAGTTCAATCTTAACAAATATTTTACTTACCTATTCATTAATTCCAAATTAATTCATAATTCTACGAGGTGTAGATTCATTTTGTACCCAGTGTCAAATTTTTATGGATACCCCGGGGTTCAAAATCTGGTTACTACCCGTATCGACTTTAGTTTATTCTCGACCATATTGTTATCCATAATAAAAATCGTATACATTTTAAATCTTTTTATATATATACTTTTGCTTTTACACACTAATAAAACATTTGTTTTTACTTTTAGTAAAAAATATATTTAAAAACTAAAAATGAAAACTTTTTTTTGTATTTACTGAATTTATTTGATTATAACGATTTTTTACTAAAAAAAAGTGTAGAATTTTTATTCATATAAATTGATAAAATTAAGAAAAAAAATGTTTTCATCTTGCTTCAGAAAAGTATTATAATATTTTTAACTCATGCCCTAGACTAACTACATACATTAATTTCAGTTTCCCACTAGCTAATGACTCGAACATAAATATCAATCCTAAGAAATATTTAATCTTAAAAAACAACGGTGATGCTGATTGCGTATTTAGCGTGCTCAAAGAGGCAGAGTATCAGACCACACGACGTGATTCCGGTAAGTAACTATATAACAATAATATTATAACCTTCATTATATGCTAGTGCTGAATTTAAATCATTGCATAAAATACTGATGAAATATATATTCTTCAAATACACACCTACTGCAGAGTTGAATCTATAATTATTGAAAGTCATTTTCTCCGTTATGAAAGTCCTTCCTCATTTATGTAGTCTTTTACGAAATGTCCATAATATTTTTGTATTCAACTTTGATATATTATTCGAATGATCGTAAACAGTGATCATTTTTTTTGAATATAACTTCAATCCCAACATGTTTACTGATCATCGTCGACTATTGTTTATAATCGACGAACTGAATTAGCGTAATTATATGCGAAAGGCTCTAAAAAACGTAAAAGAAAATAAATTATATTTTTGAAATATCTCGAGGCTTTCGCGTTGATTTATTCAATTTTAATTTACTTCGCAAGTACGTTGATGATTATCATCGATATTGCAACTACAAATCACTCGTGTTTCTTCGAATAATTGTAAGTTTATACGGACAGTTGATCTTTGAAAAAATGTTTCGAGAAGCGTAAATAATCATAATTCGTTTTAAAAATGTATTATTGCAGAAAATAATGTTTTTGTATTGTCCGGTCTGCCTCTCGGAAAAATCCGACCATCTCAGGACAATCTGAATGGTATAGATATAAGTTTAAATTTTATGTTACATTATTGTGCGGCGCACAGCGTGACAGTGACGTTCAGTTATTTTTAGACGGGTTAACAAAGCACATGGCCGCGTTGAATTGTACCGCAAATGCCGCGAAAATTGATAAGAACATATTTAAAGATATCATCGGATCCGTCGTTCGTAAAATGTTCACTTACTTCAGGTGGAGGAATAACACCAACGTGTTGCTACCGGCTAAAGGGTCCGTAAGAGTACCGGTTATTTTCAACCAGAACTTTGCGCACTCTACGGTCTCCGAATCGTTTGTGATCACGTTCGACAGCACGGACCATGACATTCCTAATCAGGTAAAAACGCAACGTTCTGAACTATATTATTCTCTGACACAACTGAATATTGAACTGTAAGATGTCAAACAAGTATCTAAGATCAAGACTATGAGTGATTTATGGAAAATGTACATTGTACATGTGTAATGACAGTGGTGTGATAAACATTTATGAATAACGAGGGTATAAAAAAGTTTTTTAACTGGCAAATTTTACAATTTCAAATATTATAGGCGTTAAAATCGTTTAATTATATTTTAAGAAAAAATGTCGGGGACCTAAACTCTTAATACCCCTGGCTACGGACTTGACTAGAGTCCATTTATTATAATTTATATCTATTAAATACGTTTTTAGTATACCTATCTATATTCTAGATCAAGTCGTCCATCAAAGAGACAATTACTTTTTTAAAGCTAACCTTTTTACTTCTGATAATTTTCCAAGAAATTGTACTCTGGCCATCCCACGTATACCATACATGACAGCGGTGGCGACTTATATCAAGACCTTATGTTCCTAAAAATGTGTTTTTAACTTGCGCGGTTCGATTATGCAGTGGCACTCACATGACGTTTTCGTTCCAGGGAGTGAACGTCATCGGTTACATCAAAGAACAAGAGCTAATCGTAATACCTGACGTTATTGACGCCGGAATTTGCTATTTAACAAGCTCCGAGCAAGTGGTCGGTTTTCGGGTTCAGAACAGCAGCAGAGTGATGATGCCATACGAGATCAAACTGCCCAACAGAGGACTTTTCAGACACGTGAAACTCAGCCACTCGAAGGGATACCTTAGAGCCAATTCCTCGCTTGAAGTGTCCGTGCGACTACATCTGAAGTGATTTTCATTATTGTTGTCATTATTTTAACAAACCTAAAAAAAAATATTTGTTTGTAATGACAAAATATACTATGGGTATAATTTTTAGATACGATATTATATGGTCGGACGACTGTGCGATATTCTTTGACGCGGACAGCGGTTTCTTAAAGTTCCCCATCCGAGTATATCCATCCAACTCTAAGACTTGGTGCGAAGTACTTATCTTCGCCGTGGTGACTTCGCCGTTTGGTTTAAAGCTGACGCCTGACCGTTTGGATTTCGGAACGGTCAACACGACGGAAACGGTTGTCCGTAGTGTTGCATTGGCCAACTATTCAAGGACTCCGATGAATTATGGATTTTTGGATTTGCCGGAGGTAATAAGGATTTTATAAAAACGAAAAATTGTTCGTTAGTAATAATTAGATGCCAACGTGATCAACAGAAACTCATAAAATAACTTACAGATTTATTAATGTTCATCAAATTATGGGTTAAGGAACGCATTTTTAACACCAAAGGAGAAACGATGTTAAAAGCATTATTTGTATCCAAATTCCTGTATAAAAATTATTTCTTACATATAAATTTGTATATAAATAACTATGTAAAAAATAATCACAAATTTTTATCTAAAATAAAACGTATTTTAAAACCAATATATTTCTCCCGATTGTTTCTAACGACTACTTTTTTTTATTATTTTTTCAAATTTTTTAAGATATTTGACTGACTTAGAGATATGAAATATTTTTAGATGGTTTCCATACACCCAACTGCATTTGGAACTATATTTTCTGGTGAAATTATCTGTCTGCACGTGCATTACAGTCCTAAAATACCAAAAATGTTACCTCGAGACGTTCATATGTTTGAAGATGATTTCATAATAACATGTAGTACAATTACTGGTTTGAATGCAGACAAAATTTTCTCTGAAGCCGAGACAACCGAACAAGTAAGATTGTACATATTTCTAGTTAGAGCGCAATATACAAAGATTCAATAAGGTTAGACTATAGTTTTAAAATAATAAATTAATTTACCGATCAAATTATAACAACATAAATTACTATTTATCTCCATCTTTGTAAAATTTTCTTTTAGTAATTGTTAATATTGGCATGGTTGATGATTTTTAACAATCAATTCGATATAATAATTAACGGTTGCATAGTATGATATCGATTGTCAAAAATCGTTTATGGACCAACGGTTTCGACAATTGGTTGTATAAATATATCGATTCTAAATGTTTTCGCAATTACTTGGAAAACCTTTCATTTTCTTCCAGATTTACGAAACAGCTACTGAAGAAATATCAACTGTTAATGAATATAATAAATCGACAGCAAGCATCAATTATACCTACGAATTAGACCATGGCCCGGATAAGTTCGTATATTTTTGGCGCGTTGGTTTTCAGTCGACATATGACTTAAGCTATATTATGACGTATGACCCAGAATACAGATGCAGAGACTTATGAACGTTGTCAAAGTAAATTCGTCGATTAGAAATTCCATTGTAAAAGAAGCTACAATGATTTGCAACGCGAAAATACACGAGATTCCTGTAGAACTTTCCGTTCAGAAAATCATTTTTGAAAAAACTCCGCACACATCCTTTTCGACGTTTAATATCGATTTGAGGTAAATTTAGTGAAAACAATTTTCTTACCTATAGGCGCACATGGAGAAATGGGCGTATTTAAAAGCACCATACCATACATGTTTATTCAATTGAACCTTTAGTTACATGAAAAATTACCAACTTAAAGTTACTTACTTAATTTATTACTTATTACTTATTATTTATTTAATACTTTTGGTGACGACAATAGCATCCCACTCCCACCCAGAACTATTTGCGCCTATAGTGCTCACAACAACATTAATGATGAAATAATGAATTATTTGATATGAATTATTATCTTTGTCAATATCTCAAGAGCATCAAACTTGTCGTCTGTATCTGAACGTAATATAAAATCGTTCCTGGATTTCAAGATTAGATTCGAGTTCGTTTCGGACGACCCTTCTGTAGAGTTTAAGCCGAAAAATGGAATTCTACAATCGAAAGATGTTATTTAACTATTCAAACCGGTAATGATTCCCGATTTTATTTTAAAATTATTTTTTACAGGTAATTAAAATTTGTGTCGTACTTCGGCCGAAATTTGATCACAAATTAAAAAATATGTATAAGAAATGTCTCGATTTTGTGTCAGAGAATATTGATGTCAATCAAATTTTAAAACATGAATATCACTATCTAAACCAAGTATATTTTTTTGGTTACCACTGTTTACCAAATATTAAATGAAACCTTTTGATTGGTCAGGTTAATGGACCATTAACTCACGATCAAATCAGATTATTCGAAGCTAACCGAACATTTTATTCCAAGCTAACGGACCAAACGAAAATTATTTCCGCTGTGTGCTTTGTACAATTTATTAACAAAAAATCAATCGAATATTTTGGGTATTGTATTTATTATTTAAGTACCAATTAAATAATCAATTTATATTTTACTGGTAACCAATGCGAATACATAGAAAGGAAACAAAAGTAGTTGGCACTTCGATATTGAACATAGAAGTAGCTTTTTTTCTCCATTTATTCGTGTTTTTAACATGCTTGTGTTCATATATAATATATTTTACTCGTTATAAGCTGATGGATCTATTAAGTTTGTAATATTGTTAAAAAATAATGATAATTATATTTTTTTTACTTTTTTTTATAATAATGTTCAGATATAGTAATTTTGATCAACCGTCTTTGATTGTGACGTTGTTAACGATTTCAGTAGGAAAATAAATTTGACTGAAAAATGTAAAACTATAAATTAATAAATTTAAAACACAGTTGTCGATTTATTATTTTTAACTATTAAAAAAAACAACTCTGATTTCGGTACAAAACGGGGGCTTTCAATCGACGACACATCGATTGAACAACTTGAACGGATTGCGTCTGGGATGTTATCTCGTGCCGTGCACGTAATAACATCCGGTATCAGGACCCGCGTACCCTTACGCGACGTCGATTTGGCCGTTTGCCTTCTGATAGTAGTAATTTTTCGGATTCGCGGGACGCGCGCACATCGTTACGTAATACGTATTTATGTACAATACGTGCACGTTATTGACACCCGTGAATTTATGTGCGCGTTAAGATTTGACACGGGATCGTTGAAGCTAAGTGTTGTGTGCCCGACAATGAGGCCGAACATAATCTTGTTTGCCGATCGAATACATTTCGGCAGATGCACCATGAACGTCCGTCACGAGCAATTGCTGTTTGTGCGAAACGTAACAGAGCGCCCGGTCCCGTTGAAGATCTCTCTGCCGGACCCGATCGGACCTTTCTTCTGTTCATTCGTATTATTATTAATATTATCATATTCATTACAGCTTTATAAGCCATTATTGCCGATTTAAAACGTATAATAAATCTAACGATGAATTACTACATTATTAGGCTCTGAACGGCGAGTCGCAGTTGCTATCTCCGGGTGTTACGATGCCTATCAAAGTATTGTTTACGCCCGAACACGAATCGACGGTAAGCGACTTTTTAATAACTATTTATTTATTGTCCTCCCATCATTATAATCCTAACAATTTCATCAAAATCTTTGATTTGTATACAAAATTGTTAAAAATCGTATCACATTCGATCAGCGTAATTACGTTTTCTACATCCTATAGTATAACTTGGAATTCCTCTTTACATATCAAATATATTACTTTTATTATGATTAAGTACGCCGAGCATATCGTAAAACTCTTGAGATTCTAAGTGAAGACACTTGAATGTATTAATCTCGTAATTTTTTTACTTTCTTGTAACCAAATCGTTCAGTTTCATGTAATATCTTATCTTAATTGATCGGAAATATGACAAACAAGATCATATCATTTTTCCCGTAATAATTTGAGTACTATATGTGTATAAAATAATTGTAACAATACATGAAAATATTAAAAACTTAGAAAATAATACTTTACACGGAAGAATTTGAATAGGTTTTAATCATTAAATGAGTAGGTACTGATATTATGTGACAACAGATCTAAAGGAAAGATAATCATGACCCGTTATGTTACCCAATTCTTGCTAATGCACATTAAATAATTTTGCTTGACCAATTTTTTATTCTTACTAACATTGAAGTTTAGATAAACTAATTATTATTTTATTTTATTATTATTTTACCTCTATTTCATGAAAATTTAAAATAAACTTATTCGTTCTTTTTGAAAATGCCAACAATTCATGATTCGTTTTTCTTCAAGAAAATATAGACACTCTTTTAGGTAATCTTTAAGTTTCTTTTTCTGTATTTATATCGTATAACATAATTCGTGTAAAAATCTTCATATATTGTATTGTACACTATTTTAAAATCAAGTATTCAATACGTATAATACAGCAACACAACCTTGGTGAAAAAAGTTTTTTTAACACGACGTTCATCATTGTATTCAAATGTATAGCAATAATACGACAAAAATATATTGCCACTCTAGTGATACTAACACAATTTCTAAATAGTATGATTTGACACTAACATTTTTCTGTTCTAATATCTGATCCAAGAAGTAAAACGACAAAGGTCAAATCATCGGTTTTAATGGCGTGTTATAAGTTTTTTATTTGACTAAAGTTGGTTTGCAATAAAACACCATAGACCATGATTGTGTATTATTATTATTGCGTGGAACTAAACCTACCCTTCGCGTATTATCTTGAATCAATAGGCGACTATAATTATTTGTTGCGTCCTGAAAAAAAGGTGAACGAAACCTTGGAGGTCACATCGGAGACGACGCGGCTAACGGTCAAGTTGTCGGGCTGCGGTCTGAGGCCGACGTGCGACATCACGCCCGGCGGTATCTTCAACATAATACATACCACGCACGAACACTCGGACAGCAAATTCATTTTTCAGGTAATTTTCGCGCGGAAATCAATTATTTACAGCTTGTTTCAGACGCATGTGTGCACACACACGATTGTTCGTAGTTTACTAAGATCAAACGGTTGTCCACTATTACCGTAGAACATGACAGAAAATAATCCCCCTCCCCTCCTCGTCGTCCAATAACGCTACACATCAGCGGTGATTGGTGTAACATGTTTCACATACATGCATTGGAAAACAATAGGTTTCATGATACATACAGTCCGAGTGTGTGAAAAATATTACATACACCTGTTACCCGCCGTAATATTTATTGAACGCGACGTGACGCGATAGTATTTTTGAGTCATCGATTCATTATTGTTTATTATCCATTATCAATATAAAATGCGCTCGGAAACTGACTGTAAAATAACGGGAATTAAAATTTATTACACAACTATTAGACTGTTAGCTTAAAATTATATTTTTGTACTATATTATCTGCGGTAAAATCGTCGTTGCAGCGATCAACTGCAATATTGTGATTCGTATATGTCTTGTACTGCACGATAACATTCTGGATAAAGTGAAAAAAGTTTATATAGGTCCAACATTTTCTTTTTTTATATTGATTTTTCTTTGGTAAAAAACTGCGGCAAAAGTTTCGAGCAACAATTAATAACTATAGATCGGATCAGAACGGAAAAATCATAAGTAAAATGTTCTCAAAATTGAACAAATGATTAACTAATTATACATTCCATCATAAAACACTTATCATAATGGTATAGTAACAAATAAGTATATATTAATGGATGATAGAAGGGAAAAAAATGAAATACGAACTGTTGCGGTTCTGGTACTGTGATAGACACACTATGTATAATAACTGTAATGTAGCGTATCAAAATACCACCTCCGTACACACAACATATTTCTTCAAAATATTATGTATGAGATTTCTTTCCATAAAAAGCGATATTAATAATAATTACTGTCTTGAGAATATTCCAAGTAGTGACAACACTACAACATTATGTCATATCGAAGTACATTTTTTTTTTCAACACATAATAATAATAGTATTACTAACCGACGCGTTTTAATGGAAACATAACAATGATATATTATAGGTAAACTCTCGCGGTATGCACAATATATGTATTTTATTATGACCGGACAATGTACGGACTAACATAATATATTCGAACGTGCAGATGTAATACAGTGACACACGGCGTTTTTATACTGTGTTGTCAGGACACCGCCCCGCACGTCTGTCCTGAGCTTCTTAAGAATTTCCAATTGCTACCTATACGTACAATAATATTTGATTTTCATCAAACCTTGGGTTCGTTGAATTTCTACGAAATGAATCCAAACCTTCAAAATAATTAATCCGCGACGTATTCCAACATCGTGTACAAGCAGTGACGGTGCTAGAGTTTGCGAGGCCCTGGGCAAAATAAATGTTGGGTCCTATCATTTATATTAATATAATATTTTAAGTTCAGTTAAATCAGAACCGCGGGGCCTTAATTATAATTTAAGGCGCTGGATCCTGGGCAACTGCTCCTATTGCCCACCCCCTCGCGCCGTCCCTGTGTACGAGTCATATGTTTCAAACGAGTTTTAATAGACATTTGTCCAATTGGCCCGTTGTAAAATTAACGTGCCAAGACAGATTCATTGCAAAATTGACGCGAAATCGATGTTATACACAAGTTGTCTATTTCTTGTAGAATTTTAACTCCTAGATATGGTTTAGCTTCAGGCCATAACGAAAAAATATAATCCAACAATCGAACTCTAGGGGTCTGATTAGATTAGGTTTTCGAGTATAACATAAAAAAACAACATAGGTGTGCAATTATACAGTGATTTAACTATACCGTGATTTAATGTCGGCTTGGCACTTAAAGGGTTCGTTTATTCAAAAAAAGTCCTCAAAAATGTTTTCTCGTAAAATCATAAAATGTACCTACTTATATACTTAAATAGTGCAAAATATTATAATTTTTAATATTCCTTTATTTAAAATATTTATTTATTAACTATATAGTTAACGTCATTATTTAAATTACTACAATGTTATATAACTAGTATATAAGTAAATAATACCTTATGATATAAAATTCGATATTTTTTTAACGATATACAAAATGTACAGTTGATTTTTTTGTATGACAGGAATTTTTTTTAGTTCACTAAAGCCTGCCAGGAAATTAAAACCATAAAAATATATCAATTACGGTGATTATCATGATAATTTACAAATCTTTAGAAGTTAAGGCCCCTCCACACAAACTCAGTCGATGTCCCCGGACGCGTTCGTGGCCTAGCGTCCATGACCAGGCCGACACTACCGCGATCCATACGCAACTAATAACAATAGCAAAGCGAGCATAACGAAATAGGTTCGCGGAAAGTTGTTCGTCAGTTGAATCGTAATAACCATTACGAATATATTATTACACTTTATTTTTTCCGAACGACAATAATATTTAGATCGTGACCGCAACCATATATTAACCGCATATATCCAAATCGGTTGGACCCGGCGTGAAATATTAAGATTTAAACCGTTTTTGGCGCACATATTATTATGTAGGTACCGTTCGCACCACGGTCAGTACGCGGATACGTGATAACCGTGGTTTGCAACGTCCGCTCATCAAACAGCAAACGGGCCGGCGTGCGCCACTAGTAAGGATACGAGTATGTTTTTCGACCAAAAAGCACGGTACAATATGATACAGTATCGTGTGGGCTTATTTAAATACAATTTATACAAAATATCATTGTGATCAGTGGTGTTCCCATAGGATATACTACATATACGCCGTTTACTCTCAAAATTATTTTGAAAATTCAAGGATATACTACGCATGTTCTTAGGACTCGAGCACTTTGCGGAGAAGTATTAAATTTAATTCGTTTTACACGATCTAATTTAGATATTATTTTGCCTGGCCTTTAGTATATTACTATTATTATTATATTAAGTACCTAATTATTGACGGTGTACTACGACGGTATCAATTTATTTAAATAATTTTAATTTCTAATTCTGTAAAAAATAAAAATGTATACATTTCAGTTTTTCGTTAATGTTTACAACCCTTTCCCAACCACCATCACCGTATAATAAAAATTTCCATATTCAAACACTCGTTGGCATAGTATACTCTCAATAAAATGGATGGGAACATCACTGATTGTAATACAATTGACGTATATAATATCGACGTATGTGCCACGAGGTTACTTTTATTTATTTTTTTTAACAATTTAACAATTAGTACCGTGCAATTTTGTGGTGGATTCAGAAGAAAACAATCGATAACAATATAGCATACGTAGGCTGATGTAGCGTGTACGGTGTTATAAATATTATTTTCCACATATTTTACCTGTACTCAGGGGTGGATCCACTGTTAGTGAACCGTGATTCAGGCTATTTCAAAAGGCCATTAAATAGCCTAACAATAAATTTAATATAATTAATAAATACAATAAATAAAAAATAAATAATATAAATAATTATAAATAATAATAAATAAAATAAATAAATGTTATAAATTTATAATACATTTTATTAAGACTGAAACTGGATTATTATTGAATACCTTGTAACAAGAAAACAAAAAATTATCATAAGATTATATGTTTTTAAGTTTATTCATAATTACATCCGGAAACATTAATATTTTATTTTATGGAAAATTTCGTTTTACATGTGGTGCGGCGTAGAGATGATTTACTGCAATACACAGTTAAACTAGTGGCGTAATTTGGAGGGTTGCAACTTGGATATTTGCTTCATTCTATTATTAATTTCCACTTATAGTCAGCACACTTGAAAAATATGAGAATTCTTTTCAGAATTTTGTCAACAAATATTAACTGGGAGTCAACTGACCCCCTTACCCCCCCCCCTATATTTTTCTCTGACGCCCTGAAAACTGATTTTTTGGACATTACTTGTAATTAAGCTCAGACTTCAAAATCATTATCTCGAATTGAAACTGACGAAAAGTTTACGTTTTGATTTACAAAAGTTTAATAATAACAACATAACAATTTAATTGAATAATCCACAGGCGCATTTGGTCGATAACATCATGAGTTTAGTACTCATAATCTCTCATATTAACTCGGTGTTTACATAGATTACTTAAAAAATTTGTTTTAACCTTCTCAACTTGTTTAACCATTTAGGTTTAAAATATAAAAATATATGCAACGATAATATTTTTATTTTTTTTTAAAATCCACTTTAAAATAAATTATACTTAAATATAAGTTGAGATAAATCATTATCTTATACAAATTATAAGAAAATTTGTATTGAAACCATTAAAAAAAAAAAAAAAAAGTAAATTTATATAAACTAAAACGGTTTTGACTTTGAATTTTATTTTACTTTAATTTATTATCAAAAAAGTGATTAGTTTTTTATAAAATGCAACTTAAACGCAAATAAGTAATTTTTTCCACTTCTATAATGTATATATATACCTGAGTTTTTTAAGGTCATAAAGACCAACTAATGTACACGTTGTTATTATTATCATGCAGTTTCCAATATTTCCGTTCGTCGTTTTTTTTTTTTTTTTGCATTTACGCAGTATTTCTAAGAATAGTCGGTTCAAATAAACCGTGTTATTCTAGTAAAAAAATATAAATAATAATATAACAAGAAAAATAATAACCATGATAATAAACAGTAAAGACCAAGTACTAGACGATATAAACCTTTCTAGATTGTTATATTTTAGTTATTTTTTCAAATAACTTTTGGTTATAGTGTATAGATATAATAATTATTATAAATATAAATTTTTTTCATAAATTTATAATAAAAAAAATATATATCTATTGATGATTCTTAATAGTGTATGAAAATATTTAAAAATAAATATAATTATAAAATTTGAAGATTCTTGCTGCAATGTTGAACTTTAAATGACTTCATGTTAACAGTATAAAAATGATTATTTTTTTCATAAAGTCTACGATAGCTAACTAAATGTACAATCGGACAGAAAGAAAGAGTTTGGATTTATAGGTAATATTCCTACTTAAGTGTGTGATTTACTAAGTACCTAGGAAAACAAATATTAATATTAGTATTATATTAATAATAGTTTTTGTGAAAACGTTTTAAGTGTTTTAGGTTTACCTAAAATTTTCAAGTTTTATTAGATGATCATTAAGTTGCATTAAATTTTAAAATCTGAAGTTAAAATTTTCATTAAATTAAAAAATATATAAACTAAACGCTTCCCTGCTTGCTTGAAAAAATCATAACATTATTAGTTTTTTTTTTCAATAATCAAGTATTTGAAATCCGATTTAATAAGATATAGCGGGAAACTGTTGGTGCAGTTTATTGATGAAAATCCACAATTATTGAAACACCTATTAAGAAATATTATTTTTTACGACCTATAAAGAAATGTATTAATAAGATCACTTGTGAATTATATCAAGAGAATAAAATTCATTTCTCAAGCAACTGTTTAAAATTATTACTCTTAATTGCTCACTGGTCAGTATTACATTCACCCCAATATCCGTGTACTTTTGCTCCGTCCATCTTGTGAGTAATACAAAAATATCTAGTTATAAGCACAACTTACTGTTAAAAATATATATAACTATAATATCTAGTCTAATATTTTATCCTAATCCGAAATAACTAATGTCTAAAAGAATTATAAGTACATATATATGGTCTTTATCGTTTTTGTAAATTACAAACCAAAATTATAATTTATCACTTCACCAATATATGCAGGTATCATATTATGTACTAATCAATTCCTCTCCAAGACACAATAATGTGATCGAAAAGTCTTAGGTATATAGTATTTCGCTTTATTATCACATAAAATAAATCCACAAAAAAATATGATTTCCGCAAAGCGTAATAAGAAATCATAATTAAAAAGGTGACAAATACCAGCGGCACTGGCTTCCGGTTTAACGTGCAATTAGAATGGACAAAGCAGCGTTTGGATGCGATGACTGACGACGAATCTTACAAGTTCACGGAAGGATTGCGACTAGAAGATCGTTCGACTGCGGTTTTGCGATTCAACGGACCGGACTGGACAGAACTAGTAGGCGACGGTGCATTCGACCTGGGAAACAATGGCAAACCCTTGTGGTTTCAGCTAAATCCCAACGACGTGCGTAACGTTGAGGTGACTTTTAAGCCCTCGGATCGTCCTGTTGAAAAACTCGTTCCGGTGCAAGACATTTTATCCTTTGCCGTCGAAGACGAAACCGACCTCGTTCCCGGTAGAATAATCTTTTGGCGTCAAGTTTACGTGGCAAAAATCAACGTGCACGTCGGCCAATCGATTCTCCACTGGTTCTACGTACTAGGTTTTGTCCTCATGAAAACTCCTACTGCTACTATCCAAAGCATTCCCGTCGATAACAATAATTATACCAAAACCATTGATAACATAATAACACCGAGAAACAATGCACAATAATCATAAGGTAAATACATTAAAATATATAAAAAGAGTAGTTTTTCATTTCAACTTTTTTTTTTACGCACAATAGTTTTATTTTCATTTTTTACTAACCAATCGAAAAGAGAAAGGTTTTATGGCCGTTTTCATTGTTAAGCTGGCATATTAATTTTGCATTTTACTATTTCACCATTTTACAACAAAATTTGTCGTGGCAGTTTTTACTAGCATTAATAAAAAAAAATGCACGTGGTCTATAGATTTTTAAGTTCAAAAACGTTGAACCTAGACGTAGACAATACGATTCATAAAATCACTTACTGTCTAATTTATTACAAAGTTCAAACTATAAAAGATGAGCTGCAATAGGTTGTACGAAAAGGAATTGAGAATTCGATTTTTCTCTAGCAGAATGAATGACATAATCGTACACATTCCAAGGAAATCGTCGGTTTTCTTTTAATTACGACCTTATGATCTTAAAAAGTAATTCTCAAACGATAGGTATAGATATATTTATATAAATAAATAAATAAAATATTCGTATTCTGAATTGAAACTTTACATGTATACATAAATGAAGCAACTTTCTTCGAAAAAAAATTTCGCGAGAGACATCCCGGTAAGGTACAATAAGGTACACTCAGTGACTGCGTTAGGCATTTAGTCACCCTATGCCAATTTATAAAAATGCCGCTGTAATACAACATTGGTAATTTATACAAAAAAAAAAAAAAAATAGGGTCTTTACATCAATTAGATAAATATCCAGGTATCGAGAAACTTAAAATTTTATTTAATCATCGTAAGATTACTTGCCTCGATAGAGAAATCATTTAATTAATAACATTACTTGAGATATAAGTATTACCATACGTCTCGCTTTTGAGAAATGTATCCCTCTGTCCCCAAATAACGTAAAAATGTCCTGCCTTGAATGGCAATGTTATACATACCATACGATGCATAAACATAAAACGTATAATTTTATTAAATATGCGTAATTTTTTAATATTGTTGAAAAGTTTGCAAAATTATTATGTCTGTTATAAAAACATTATTATTATTATAGCTAGTAAGATATTCTTATAAATATAAAAGGTAATTGTAATATTTTCTCTGAATGCTTATGTTAATATGTAATTGATACCTCTTAAACGTATTTTATAAATACAAATTTTTTTGTACATATTTTTTTGAAAAAAGTAATTTTTTTATAATTTAGCCAGAATAAACACAGTCATGTTCAAATTTTAATTAGACAATGTATATGTATCATCAAAGTACTTTTATAATTTTTTTTTTCCAAGTCAAACATTGCTTATACCATATGCTAATATATAATATATATATAGGTAGATTTGTATAGATTTTAATTAATTTTTTACGAGTATTTTTAGTACAGCAAAATTAGAAAAACCGAAAAATCTTGGTAGTAATAAAAAAAAAAGACTAAGGTGTATTTTAGTATTTACATTATACTGTCGTTATATTTTATCAGTCAAGTTTGAAAATGATCTTGAACTAATAAACATATGTTAAAAAAAATACCTGTGTTATAATGTTATTTACCTATATTATATGGTTGCTGGCTGTCGTTATTATCGAATAAAGCACGTTAATATTATACATTTATAATATTTATGGCAAATATCAATCGGCCCTAACTCTTCAATACCCAAAAAAAAAAAAAAAATAAAAAACTCGGACCACAATTTGGATCAGACCTCTTTTCATAAATATCTTTGGAACGCAACTAGTATGCGGCTACTTTTCGAACTATTCGACTATTATTCAATAGTTCAGTGAAAACTTGAACATTGAAAGTTTTAAAAACTGTAGGTCCTTAGAATATCCAATAAATTACCCATTTCATTGGCATTATTTCTGCCCTCTAATACTGCTGCTTTATACGGAATGCCTGTACACGTCTTCCACCGGCCCTGGATATACTTCGAGTATTGATCTCCGCGGAGAATTATTGTACAATGCACACGGATTGTTAACGAAATTAGATACGTCTCGACACACTAAACCAGACACCCGTGAAAATTTGATACGGACTAGGTTATCCTGCGTGATCGCGGAATAATACAGGTATGTTATGTGAGAATTAAAACAAATATCGTACTCTCGCACACGTCGACTAATACGATTCGAGAGTTGATCGTGTATCATTACTGATATTACCAGCGAACTGATGATCAAGTCATTACACATTAAAAGTCCAGTGGCGTAATCAAATCTATGGTTTAAGGAAAGGAATCTATAGCCTTGTCTAAAAACACTGTCAATTAATTTTGTAATAGCTAACGCAAATTTTGAAACGATAAGCTCAGGACAGTATTTATTGAAGAGTATATTGTGAGTTGTTACCTTGGATGGTATATTTAAAATGGATGGCTAATTTTTTATACGTTCAATTTGTTAATTCTAATATATTTTTTAAATTTTTTTTATGATGCCCGGGATAGGTAAATTTTAAAAATTACGGTCCTAGACAATAGAATCTAGGTTCTGTATAATAACGATGTAAATATATTAATTTAATGGGAAAATAATAAAAAGGTATACATCAACTGTAATGTTCAACGGCGATTCGTTCGGTTCCAAGTGCGAGACGACGATAAGGTAATCGGTTGATTAATACTATTAATGAATGGACAATGTCCATTGGACATAATAAATGACTTTGAGTTACCGTTGTAACGACTTGGATCGGTAAAAAACGATCAATAATCAAACAATAACAATAATAGAGCACAGAGTAGATGACGCCTTTATCCGAGAACACCGGAAGTCAGATTTATTACATTTATTAAAATAATCTAATAATTATACGCGGACATTCATTTTTGTCCCGTATTGTCACGCTAAAGGCATTTATGAACGATATCCATAAATAATTTTGCATTATACGCGTGACTACCTGAACTCCTCTCTTCGCAGTATTCTCATGTAATAGGTATTTTATATATATTCGTTTTCGATTATTTTGTTTTTGTCATCCTGCGCGTACGGTTTACTAATTCTATGATATCCACATCGAACAATTTCACTAAGGAATACCGATCATATATACCTATAATATATTTCACAAAATTTGGACGTATCAACTTAACATTTTCTGTATTTTAAATTACTAAGACAATATGAATAGAAAAATTCCTCAAAAAAACACAAAAACTGTTTTTATTTTTTTTTTATTAAAAAATAATATTTATTTTTATTCATTTAGTGTTTAAAATGATAAAACTGGATGGTAAAACAACAGTAAATAAAACAACAGAATGTTGAGGCTTCTTATGATAAATCCCTTTAATTAAAAGTACTAAAAGTAAATAATCGAAAAAAAAATTATTAATTAATGGTATTCATTTTTTCATTTAACCAATTAATATATAATATATAGTGACAGAGATCGAAATGAAAACAATTAAAATAATTTCCAACAAAATTAAAAGTGTAGAAAAAAAATTAACCATACACAAGTGCACGACGTAGTAAAAATATAAAATGTAATGTATGATAGAAACTCGATAACTCGAATCGGTCGGGGGCAAAAAAATAATTCGAGTTTTCAAAAATATTTTATAATGTGATACAACACAAAGACTTCGTTTTATAATTGTATTTATTTATTTATACCATGTATAAAATATGTAAGTATGTATTCAATAGTAAAATAAATAAGTAAATAATAAAGAAAACAATAAATAAAGTAGGACTACTTTTGGAAGAAATTATATATTTTTGATTGTTTATATTATGTGATAAGGACGTCCTATCTGTAAAGTTTTCATTGATGATGAGCACGGAAATCTCGCCTGGAATTTCAGGTTGCTCACAAATATATTTACATACTACCTGTAAACTATCTAATGTCTGAGAAGTTGAAGGCAAAGGCAATTCCACATGATCATTAATATTCGACTTCTCCCCACTCAACTCATTAGGCATTTCTTTATTATTTATTATACATATACTTATTATATTATTTCAGTAATTTTCAGTAACGTAAGTCCAACATTTCGAGTTATAAGTCAAAAATTCAGCTCAAATGACTTTGACTTATTGAGAATTACAAGTTAACGAAATTCGGATTACCGATAAAATGTTTCACACATATCATATATTAAAATTCAGGGGTCAATGCATTCTTTGACTCAAAAAAAATTCGTCTTTTAAAGCTTGTAGTTATCGAAATTCCGCTGTAATTTCGTAAATTGTTTTTTAAACAATCGGCTAACACAAACTAACCACTAATATAATGCTTTCTCAAATTCATTACACTCAGATTCAATGATATTAACTTTTCTAACAAAATTACTCTTTGTATAAAGTGGAATTATAAAATACATATATTTGAATTATAAGTATTTTATTGTTTTTCAATAAAATAATAATAATATAAAGTGTCATAAATGTTCTTTTTCCAATATACTTATACAATAATAGTTCTATATTTATCACGATTTTAATATCTTCGATAAATGACATTTTAATGCTTTCATAAATTACGTACAAACACTAAAACGTAAAAGAAACAGTTAATCGTCAAAATATTAATAGTTTTTATTTAGTACACAAACTCAACCGAAAAAAAAACAATAAAATTGTAGAATTTTTTAAAAAACATTTTATACCATTATATCTATGTAAAATCTTATTTTAATTTAGTTTAAATTTAAATTTACTTACTTTAAACTTTCTAGCTTATAATTTGTACTCAGAACATCAAGAAAATAAATTTTTCTGATTAAATATTAAAGAACTAAAATATAAAATAACAATACATCAATTTTTTAAGCATATTTATTGTTTTTGTAATTTCATAAACTTACTACACTACCTATACTAAATATACTATTTATTTCCATTAAAATGATTTACAAAAGTACAATTATGATTCACTTCATTGTATTTTCATATTTATTACAATGTTTTATTATTATTATTACTATTCATTTACTAAGGAAAATACATGATATTATACTTAGGTAAAATGATTTGACAAA